ACTTCCCCATTGGCTCTGCTGGTGCTGTTCACCCTAATGCAAACTCAATAAATGCACTAAAGGAAAATTCAATATGCGGAAAAGGACTCCTTTAAAATCAGGTAGAGAGCAACACTGGGAAATCAAGAAGCCAAATGCTAAAGTCAAGGTTCGAACAAATTGATAAATATTCCGTAAAGACTTGACTAAAACACTAAAAACAGAGGTCGCCTAAAATTAAAATTGGGAATAAAATAGTGCATCTAGAGAAATTAATAAATACATTAAAAAATCGAAAAAAAGGGGCTCAAAGTAATTCTGTAAAGAAATCGAAAAAGGGTCCTCCAACACATATGGACACAGTCGGCTGTCGCAGCTCAGTGGCGGCGCTAGGGGGTGGCTACTTGGGCTCAAGCCCCGGATGTTTTCTGAAAAGCCCCGAATGTTTCACTTAAAGCAAATGTTTCTCTCTCGGGAGTAATGTGCAGTACCGGAGTCCAACAGAGAGGCAGCAGCTGCGGGACAGTAGCCTGCGTACTGCGTAGCCTTCCCTGCCCTGAAGAAGAAGTGATCCTTCGTTAGCGTGAAGAGTCTGGTTTATGCGCTCCACAGTAGCCCCGCTGCGAGGCTCCGGTGAGTTCACAGTGCATGAGCGTGCTCCACTAGCACCCCCCCCCACCCCACAGCATCAAAATTCTGGGCTAAACCCCGGATCTCCTACAATCCTAAATCCTCCACTGTCGCTGCTCACTATTCTTTTTAAAAACAACACAAGGCCTTCGCACTACAGCGTCTGTTACTCACGCCCCTGGGCAGAGCTCGTAACTCTGCCCCTGGTCTGCTTTTATCCGTACACTCTTGGTTTCCATGTTTGGTTCCTTTGCTGGATTGCAGCTGCCTCTCTCCACTCAGCTCCTCTGCTCGTACTTCTTAATCCGATGGACCCCGTGTCCCAGCTTTCTCTTATTGCATGCTATGTTAATGTCACACTGCTGTTTTCGTTGTGTTCTGTTTTTCTTGTGCAGCATGACTGGAGTTTTAACTGCATTTCCTGTCAACCCTGTTGTGCAGAATGACAATACAGTATAGTCCTTTTATCCTTTAGTCATGCTGACTTTTCTCCCGAGCACAAACTACTCCTCAACAACCAGTGGTGGAAAGTAACTAAGTAATTTTACTAAAAATATTGTACTCTAGTACTTTTTGACATATTTGTACTTTACTCGAGTATTTCCATTTAATGCTATTTTATTTTGCTAATCCATTACATTTCAGAGGCAAATCTCATACTTTTTACTCCACTACATGTATTTAACACTCACAGTTACTTTGTACACATACTGTACAATACTGTAATGTACTACTAATCTTAACAATATTTCACATATCTAAAAAGCTTCACATTGACAAACTACAATATGAAAATGCCCTCACATGATTCAAAACAGGAGAATATAAAGTATAATAATATAATACTGCATAACAAGTACTTAAAGTATATTTTGATGCTTATACATTTCTACTTTACCTTGAGTTACATTTTGAAATTAGGACTTTTACTTGTAATGGAGTATTTAAAGACCGTAGTATTTGTACTTTTACTTAAAGTGGACCTATCATATATTGAAAAATATATTGTAGGGCCATACCTATATAAAGCATGTCTGTGAAGTTTTTTTTTCAAAATACCAAACAGATCACCCATTGTAGCCATGCCACATATTGCTCAAACCCCTCTTTTGAAGCCCTGTTAGAGAAATGCAGATTTTGGGTCCTTAGCTTGAAAAAAATAAATAAGAGGAGGCGGAGCTAATGCCTGATCAGAATTCTACCGGAGATAAAGTTAAATTCGGTTGTGATAAAACGCCATCCTGTTTAAACCACGTCAAGGATTATTTCTGAAATAGTATGGAGCTCAAATGCTTTTTCTCTTGCAGGTTTCTCACAAGATGAGTTCTTTTTTTATTTCCTGCTTTTTAAACACATGTGCTCTCCAGTACAGGTTAGCTCTGAGTGTTAGCGAGGCTTGCTAATGTAAACAAAGACGTCCAAAACACGTCAGGCATTGTTTCTGATAGCAACTTTCTGTGGGTCCGCCGCCAATTTGACGTCAGATCGGATGGAATCTGTATCCGCTCGTTGTACACCCGTTTTTAAAAGATTTGGGTACAGAGGAAAAGAGAGAGGGTTTTATTTTCTGACGCTGCGTGAGTTCCCCGACGCACCGGGGACACATATTTATGTATAAAAGACATCACAAAGTGCATTTTGCATGATAGGTCCCCTTTAAGTGAAGGATCTGAGTACTCAACAATGGCAACAACTACTACATTTTCAGTTTGATCAATACTACATGCAAAACTAAATAAGTGCCTTCTGCCTCAGCTGTTTTTTGGTCCAAATTTGCTTTAATATGATGTGAACTTCATTACGATATACTTTATTGTCACCCTTCGGAAATTAGTTGTGGACACCGTCTTGCAGTTCCACAAAAGATACAAAAATCATGACATAGTACACCATAAAAGACAAAAACGTGTTAACACAAATTGCTGATGTGCACAGTTAGCAAATCACACATATACACAGACAACATACTGACATTGGTGACCTATTACACAACCCTCATGGCCAACATTCAAACTATACATTACATTTGTTTGTTGATAAGCTTAATGGACATGGTAAACATTAGCATTTAGCTTAAAAGCACCACCGTGCTAACTATAAATACAGTGTCACAGAGATGCTAACATGGCTGGAGACCCTTTTTAAAAACGCCTTTTCCTCTTGATTGTTTTGTATAGATTTGTTTCCAACAGCACACATTAAGACATCTAATTTATTCTGTGTAACATACTGTAATTTGCAACCGCAATAAACGAGTACCAAGGGACTTCCTGCCTGATTATGTGTTTTTAATTATTAAACCATATTAGCATATGTAGTGCTTCTGTACTAGTTTGTGCTATGCATTAAACAGTATATGTGGCCTTGAACCACAGCAAACCAACATGCTGTTTGTCCTCATGAATTATTGTGTGATTTAAATGCCTGCTTTGTGGTTATGGCCGGAAACAGCCTGAGGGAGGGGTGCAAAAGGAAAATGAAGGAAGAGAGGATTGGAGCTGGTCGAGGCCGGAGGGGGATACGGATGAAGAGGAAAAAAGAAACCAGGTGCAGATTAAAAACATTACAAGAATAGATGTGGTCTGTGAGGAGAAGGTATTAAGAGATCTGGATGATGAAGATGATAATGAGGAAGAGGAGGAAGAGGCTGGGAGAGGAAGACGCAGAGAAAACAAAGAAGTGTGTGTTTTTTCTTCAGTAAGGATCTCTGTTTGGTGGTCTGGTCCATAAAAAACCCTGTTAATGGCTAAAGGCCGATGGCTTTTATCGCCAGGGGCCAAACACAGTCAGTAATGGTTTTCTTATTTGTGTGTGTGTGTGCTGCTGTGTATATGTGTTTTCATTTTTGATAGAACAAATCACAACCGGCATAAGTCCATTACGTCCTAAATGGACTCATCTGTCCTTCTGGCTTTTTGGGTCTCAGATAGAGAGTGAAAATAATCCAATCGGCTGGATATAAATATGTTTGCTTGGGCTAAAAGTATGAAGAAAGCTAACCAGATAACAGAGAGTCCCGAGCTTTATCTCTCCCCAATAATCTAGATCCCCTTAAGAGAGCACCGTGACACTCCAGTGACACAACCAGAGGGAATACTGCTCAGACGTTATGGACTGACCATAGCTAGTGTCTTTAAATAGTATCATTTTCTTTCCTCGTAAAACATATGCAAATCCGTTATTTTTTAAATGTTGAATAGTATATTGTTTATGTCAACGTTAATTTGCTAGCAGTATTTTGATTCCCTGTCTTTGATGGACATATAACCACGAAAAAGTAATGAAATAATTGTGACAGGACACGGTGAAAACCATAGACCTCGCCCCCCTCACTCAACGAAAAGCCACTTGACTTTGTTCAACATCAAGACAATAAATGACAACTAAAGTACCCAACTTGTGTACATAATAAGTTACACACAACAAACTTGGTCCAGTTGGCCATCGTGAGATCAATTGGTGGAGCTGGTGACCCATGCACTGCGGCTCAGTTTGCGCGGGGGTCCCAGGTTTGATTCCGGCTTGGAACCGTTTAAACATTTCATCCCTCTGTCTCAAATTTCAAAACACTATAACTCTCCAATAAAAACTAATCTGGCCCAAAAAGTTCTAAACATCCCCCTTTTTCACTGAGTTCTAGCTGGGGCTAGTGTGCTTTGCAGTTGGTTCATTTCGCGAACCACCTAACAGCCAGTTTGCTTTTCCAAACACCAGAGTCAGAGAAAGAAAGAAATCATGACGCACCATTCATGTCGCTGCAACACTTTATATAAGGAATATATATAATTATTTGTAACACAAGTGTTTAATATACACAACATCTTTTCTGAACGCTTAATACACCGTTAGACAACACAAATACCAACACTGTCTACTTCGTGTAGCGAATGAGTCCTTACTGCAAGTCAAGAATTTCAAGTATGTTGGGGTCTTGTTCTCGAATGAGGGACAATAGAGTGTGAGATGGGCTAGAGAATCAGAACAGTAGGAGGGTAAATGCAGTCGCTTTACACGATTGATGAGTAGAAAGCTGAGCCAGAAGGCCGGAGGCTGGAGCTACCTATCCATCTTCCTTCCTAGTTCCTACTCTCATATGGTCATGAAGGGTGGATCATGACTGAAAGAACGAGATATATATGCGGATACAAGCGACTGAAAGGACTTTTCTACGGAGGATGGCTGGCATTCTATCTCCCTTAGGGTAAAGGTGAGAAGTTCGGACATCCGGAGGGGATTCGGAGTAGAACCTTTTTGTAGAAAGGAGCCAACTAGGGCTGTTAGAAATTGCATGTGTGTAACCCTCCTGTCCACAAGAGGCACTGTGTAGGGAAGCAGGTAGAAGTTCCTCACAGGCTATAAATAGAGGCCTGGATGAGGACTTCCTCCTCTTTGTCCTCAAACACCCACACCAGGATTGAGTGTTTGGTAGCTGTTCGCCATGTGTCTTTTGATTTACCAATGTAAGTAGAATCCTCTTTGTAATTTGGATGTTTGCACTTGAGTAACCTCAATGGTATTGAACACATTTGTTGTTCAATATAGTAATGAATATAATTTAGTTCCAATTTAATATAATTACGGCAGACATATTTGTTAACTTTAATGTGCAAGTAATATAAGTATTATTCTAATGTGCAAATGCTGTAATCATTTTGTTTCACCTTTTCTACTAGAGCCATTGGCAACAGCTACCATCTCACCAACTGAATACCCTGATAAATAAAACAAAGACATTTAAACTCCTGTCTCCTGGTGGTTTGTGGCTCCAGTCTGAACATTCATCTCCAACAAGGGCGGTTCAATGACACATGGCCGCCTTGAAGTGTTCCAGCCTGGAACTTCCAGGCATTTCTAGCTGGGAGAAGGCTACGGGGCAGACCTAGGACCAGGTGGATGGATTAGATCTCAACGCTGGCCTGGGAGTGCCTTGAAGACCCCCAGTCGAAGCTGGTTAATGTGGCCAGGGAAATAGAAATGTATGGCCCCATGCTGGAACTGCTAACTCCACAACCCTGCTTCAGATGTGCAGATGAAGATGGATGGATAGAAATAGAACACTGTGACTATTATATCATTCATTATGACAGTAATGTGACCAGCAGATCACAGAGCTGGGTGGGAGAACTGATTTAAATAACGTTATATGTAAATACCTGTCTATGTTTGTCATGTTCAAGTTTCTGTCCATTACATTTTAAAATATCTAGTCTATAAGATTTCAGGCAAGAAGTGTTCAGAAACAGCAGAGTCCAACAGTACTTCTACACTATATATCTGTTAAAGACCAAAAAGGACAATGAAAGCTTCAGAAGAAAAACAAAAACTTAAAAGGATTATCTCTCACTCAACGGTGTTTCTAATGCACTTCTGAAAAATGCTGCTCCCCTAAAGTCACATGCGTTCCCTCACAAGAGCACTTCAAGATAAGCAGGATTATTAATATTTCAACTGATGTATCTCCCAGGTGTGATAAAGGTATTTTTGATTAACCTTTGCTCAACTTTAAAACAGCACAGTCATTTCTCTGCATGGCCATAGAGAAAGATATGACAACACTGAATGCTTGAGCTTCATTAACAACACTATTATTTTTTAATTACTGTAAAAAAGAGACCAGAAACACAAGGTCATGAAACGGTGAATCCAAACACTGCAGAGAATGTGTTTAAATTCTGTACTTTCAGGAAAACAAGTATAAATTCCAACATACTTTACAGTCTGTTCTATAAATATAATTCACATATTATAGCAGCAGTAAGAAAAACTAACAAAATCAGCTCAGATTAACTCTTGCTATGACAAAGAAGTTACTGAACTTGAATGCACATCAAGATTTTAAATCATTTTCAGAGTCAAACGGCACATGTTTTTGTTTACATACCTTTAACTGCAACAGGAAGTACACATTTCAGATGTATGTATTCTGTCCAGAAAATGTGTTGACTATTATACCTAACTACAAATCCATCTTCTGTAAAATATGAAGTGAGGGATTCTGCAAATAATGTGATAATACATTCTTAAAAAATGTATTTAAGTGGATGTTCTAGGGGAAATCAAACAAACAATGGCGTGCTGTTATGGCAACAAAACTAGAGTAAAAACTATGAATGAAATGCGGGAGAAATCCCATATTTGAAGAATTACTTAAAGGGGACCTATCATGCAAAATGCACTTTTGTACGTCTTTTATACATGAATATGTGTCCCCGGTGTTCCAGGGAACTCACCAAGTGTCAGAAAACACAACCCTCTCTATTTTCCTCCATACCCAAATCTCTAAAAAAGGGTCTGCAACGGATCTGATACAAACTGATCCAGATTTGAACACTGTCCTGATGTCAGGACAGTGGCGCTATGGCTATTGGGCCAATCCACCAATCAGGAGGAGACAGCCAAGGCCATTGCCGTTCGAAAGCGCTGGAGACGCTGTAGTACATATGCCAGGCCTGTAGGTGGTGCTGTTCTCACAGAATCAGCCCTTGCAAAAACAGAGCTAAAAAAGTGCAAATTGAGCGAAATGAGGCATGGCTAAAATGCATGATGTTTGGTATTTTGAGAAAAAAAAAGTATAAATATGCCTTATATAGGTATGGTCGTACACTATATTATTCAAATATAGCATGATAGGTCCACTTTAAATTTGAAATGTACACACACACACTCTTTAATTTCGTCCTCTACACTGTACGTGTGTAAGGTAGGTTTATATTTAGACTAGTGTAGCAGCAGCAGCCCACATGCAGTTTGAAGAGGGTGAGTAGGATGTGCACATAATTATGGACTCCAAAGCATTCATGTAGACTATGTAGTTCAAGTGAACTATGATATAAAGCAGGTTGGACTCAGTGGCGGCTGGTGCATTTTCTCCAGGGGGGGCTATACCAACATTTAAGCAAACTTATACACAAACTCAAAACATATGTCATATTACAACGCAGGGCTAGCTCAAAGGCACACAGCACTTGAGCACAGTCTATTATTTTAGTGCCTGTTTTTGTCAACCTCCTTATTATGCTTACTGATCCCTATCCTGTAGCCCTCATTGGACAGCTGTGTTTACTTTCCTAAACATGGCTAGTCGCATAGCATCATCCATGTGGACTCTAGTTTGTTCATGCTTTTTAGTTTTTTCTGATATGTGCTTTAAGTCACTCACACCTGTCTGGATCCATGCTGGGTCTGGTCCATACTGGTCTGATCCTGACGTTTGAAAAGGGAGGCAGGGGAAGCTAATATAGCACTGGTGTTGCGACAGGTAGTTAGCCTTCTTGCTAAACCAGCTCCTTGAAAAAGAGCAGGTATACTGCCTTCCTCTGTCCTTAACTTCTGCCTATGTCAGGCTGATCAGGTCCGAGCTCTTTTACTCCCAGCTTTCCCTCCAGTGTCCTCCTCTCAAAGGGTGTTTCTTTTAGTGATTAAACATAATTTTCCTTCTCCATATTCGCTATCTAGTTTTGTTTACTCTCCTTCTCCGTCTAACTCTCTCATTCAAACGTCAATCACTTACTCTGGCGCTCCTGCCAGAGTTCCCGTTAGAATATTTTTTTGCCGGTCAAAATGTCCGTTAAAGTTTAAATCTTCCGGACAAAATTTGAAAAGTGCCGGTCAAAGGTCTTCTTTGTTATTTATTGAGCTTTAAAACAAATTGATATGATTCGATATTAAACAAACTAATTATAGTAGATTAACTACATTATTAAAAAGTGTACAGTAACTTACAATAACACGGGAATAATAAACGGAGTGCTCTCTCCTTCTCCTGACAGCCCGTCAGTATCATGCAGCTCGTGGATCCAGTAATGAGTGACCCAACAGTAAAACTAAACATATCTATAACTAGTTTAGGTAGTTTGAGAGGTAATTAAAATAGCTACGTGTGATGTTCTAACCTGACGTGTGTTTTGTTCTGCTCACCACTGCAGGTGCACATGCAGAGCTGCGTGTCGACTCGTCAGCAACCGCCGATCTCTCTCTCCCGTCAGATTAGACTTTACTCGCGTTTATCTCCATATCGATCAGCTAGTTCTAGCTAATGATATGAATACCTGCTTATTAAAAGACACCTAAACAATAAGCGTCGCTATGCAACCGGGTGAGGCCACAAAGTATAGCGCAGCATTATGCATTTGTTTACATGCCCACCTGAACCCAGAGGCATTACCAACAGATCAACGCACAATCAACCCATACAGGACATCTCTTTCTCCACATTAAGTGTTAAACATTAGAATTGACTATTCTTGTCTGTCACATACTCTTTTGTCTGTCACATACTATTCTTGTCTGTCACATAAGTGGCGCAACTGATGCGGTATTGGGCTAAGGGGAAATTATTTTGACCGGACATTTTGACCGGAGAGATTTAGATTTGCCGGTCTTCAGCATATTTTACCGGTCATAGTCCGGTAATTACCGGCTAACGGGAACTCTGGCTCCTGCTGCCCCCTACAGTAGTTGTTGGCGGTGTCAACAGCTGCTTTGGGCGCAGTTTGGTGTGCCCCGAGCTGCTCCTATCTGTTGCATTGAAGAGGTGCGGACTGCGCATGCACCACTTAAAACGAGAATCAATGGGCAAAGATTTCTGCGCCCCAAGCAGGAAACATGTGACTTATTAGTAACTTTAGACATCGTAAAACAATTTTTATCGATATTTTATCATAGATTATAAATTTAACTGACACCAACTATATAATATGTACCTTGTTCATTAAAAAAAAAAATGTTAAAAAAAAGAAATGTATTTAAAAATTAAAATATTTTTTTATGGCAATCTAAAATGTGGGAAGAGGTGGGGCGGCGCCCCTCGCGCCCCTATGGGCCGGCCGCCACTGGTTGAACTGTTCTGCGATATAACATTTACAGTTGACTCTGACTGTGAACAACAGGAATATCAGAGTTAGAATTTTTGGACCTGATAGTTGTTTGGTCTTGGCTTAAAAATTACCATGCACATGATTGGATTGGGTATTGCCTTGACTTTTAAAATGCTCGGACTTGGACTTGTCTTGGGGCCGTTCTCATTTCATCAAATTCCCCTCCTCGACTCCCCTCCTCGACTCCTATCCTCGAGACTTAGTCCCGCCCACAGGAGATGCGAGCGGAGGAGCCGAGGAGGGGAACCGGGGAGAGAGGAGGGGAAGCAGCAGGCGGTTAGAGAAATGAGAACTCCTCTCCTCTGAGTGGTCATATTAAAGAGATGTCCGTTAATTATGACGTGGCAACAGCTGCATCAGCTGCGAGTGTTTTGTTAGAGCGCTGTATTTTGTAATCTCTGTTAGATCAGCTGAACATTGTTCCCCCACATATTTACTTTAAATTCCATTTGCAACAAGGATGACACGAATGTATGAGTATTTTCGACACATACTAACATCTCTTCTGTATTGGGCAGCACTAAAACATTATTATAAAAAGTACCCTACAAATAAAGGGAGACATATATAGGCTACATTACGCTTATATACGTTTCATATATTCACACATGCACACATACAAACACACAAAACACCCAATGACTGTCTATACACTATACACAGTAGGCTATGTTAACCTTTTTAAACTAGTAGGCTAAATTACATGATAAATCATCAACTCACACCTCTTTCACAAAACACCTGCAACGAATTTCTAATCCAAGTAATTAACGAATCATGAGGGACCTGACAGGCTATATAAGGTCCAGGCACACCTCTGATTTAAATCTCAACAACGAAAAACATAGTCAGTGACCACATCA